GAATCTGCCAGCCAGATAAGAATCTGCCAGCCAGATATGAATCTGCCTGCCAGATAAGAATCTGCCAGATAGTGGTAGGTACCGGGCGATAGATCTACTGGTAGGTCACACCTGTCTAGGGTTCTGCACATTTAGCCAGTCGCATTGTGTATAGTCTAGTTGGCATTTTGATAATTATAAAAATTACTGTTTACTATCTACGACAGGCTTCTTGGATTTGATGTCTATGACTCTCAGTATGTGGTGAGGAGGGATGATGCCTTGAGAGTTACCTGGTGAAATCAGGATATGGTTTTTAGTGAGATAGAACGGGATGTTACTATCAATACATTTTAAGAGGTTGATGTAGATACCGACCTCACTATTTTGTCTAATATGAACAGACTCGGTAAAGTCGTTAGTGGTGTTTAGTAGCCGTTGTTGCATCAATTCATCAGGCAATCCCTTAGCAAAATGAATGTGGGATCTTCGCATTCGACTAAGTCCATATTGCCTGATGAGCTTCCAATTAGAATACGTTGTACCGTGGACACAAGTTGGTACCAGATGACGCCTGTCCCCTAACAGACTGTCTTGTAGCAAGTTGTCGTCGGGTTGGTGATGGGGGGCGGGTGAGCACTCGGGGCAACCATTGCATTGAGTGCAGAGAGGAATAAGTCGGTCTATATTGGCTCGGGTAATCTTTTCGCACAGCAGCTCTACATCCACCTCTTTCACACTGTGACCTTGGAAAGCTCGAACCCAAATGCTTGACAAGTCCTTGGCGTAGTCCAAACGGGAGTCCCAGACAGACACCTCTCTCAATGTAAAATCTCCGACTGACAACTGCGAGGCCTTCGCACCTTCGTTAGACTCATCCGCAGACGAAGAATCGTTTCCGTCATCGCAATCAAACCGGCCCTCCAAATGCTTGATAGAGTTTATTCGTCGGTAGGCCGGACTACGAGACTTGTCCTCCGCTTCTCCATTACAACGCTTTAGACGACGGATGAACTCAAAACATCTCTTATAGTCCGGCTCAGCACACCACTCTGGGGTGACCAGTCGAGAGCAAATATGATCGGGCCGAACGTAAGAGCGATCAAGAGAGTGATCATGAGAGCGATCATGAGAGCGATCATGAGGGCGATCGGGTACGATGACACGGTTGAACTCAGCATTGCCATTGTCGACTTCTTGATATAGCACGGTCTCCTCTTCGGCGTCGTCATCTCCGCCGTTCTGAGTCACGACCGGAGGCAAAGAGGATATCACTCCAGACGCGGACCCTCTCCGTTTGCTTTGAAACGGTCTTTGATGGCGGTTATTTTCGTCTGCGCTGAAGTGATTTCCCCCCAACTCTTGGCCGCCGGACTGTTGCAGGCCGTCGCGCTCCAGTCCACGAGGGCTGTTCCCGGCGCCGTAGACAGCTGCCATTGCGACCTTCCCGTCTTGGACTTTCCGGTCTTGGACTTTCCCGTCTTGGACTTTCCGGTCTTGGACTTTCCCGTCTTGGACTTTCCCGTCTTGGACTTTCCCGTCTTGCACTAGCTCCAACATTCGGTCTGGAAGGAGGAGGCATTCGTCACCACTCTGAGTGGTTGTGAGGGCGCGTCTATAGAGAGCGCCTCTGGAAAGAGCACCTTTCCAGCAGGTGGCGGGTCTTCGAAGACCAGCCGCGCTGTGGTCTGCGCAGTCCCCGGGAGTGTGCCTGCGGAGCCCTGCTGGAAATGGTTGCGGCGAACACACAGGGCTGACCGGAATTCCCGCTTCCGGAACGTCAGCCGTTAGCTCGTCAGCCGCTGGCTCGTCAGCCGCTGGCTCGTCAGCCGCTGGCTCGTCAGCCGCTGGCTCGTCAGCCGCTAACTCGTCAGCCGCTAACTCGTCAGCTATTTGTGATGGGTCGGCGACGGCGGCGGGGGTGTAGAGTGTGCGCAGCGGCGTAGACCCCTCCACGGTGTCCAGAACAGGCGTGTTCGACGCCTCCTGGATAGGCATGTCTAGCACACACGTATCAAGGACACATTTGTCCTGACAGGCGGGTGGGGGATCGCCAGCCTCAGACTCAGTCAGTTCATCTACGTCGGAGGCGTTGCTCACGACACTCAGTTCAGCGGCTTGTTTTCGGTACGTGCGAGTGCGCAAGTGCTGCAACTGAATGGCAGTACCAAAGCGCTGTTTATAATTTGTTCGGATAATGAATAGCAATTGCGACCACTTTATGCCCTTCAGCTCCGGCTGCGCCAACAAGTGGAGAGCACAGACATAGCCATCCCGCCGAATTGGCAAGTCCCGACTACTCGGCGCATGGCGCAAGAGAAAACACAATCGTTTGCACACGGTATATTCATTCCTGATCCACTCTGCGCGCCGCATACTAAAAATAAACCCCAACCTTCAGAGACTAGGATCAACCTTCCCTCCTTGGAGAGAGGAGAGTGGGGTGTGGTGATGGCAGGAAGTGGAGGTTAGGACCAGAAGTAGGGGCCATCGTCACGTCTGGCTTGCCTGGCACGTTTTTTCCTGGCCTTCGAGATGGGGGCCATGTCGGAGTCGGACGAGGCGCTGCGGGAACTCCAGCCGGCAGCGCACTTGATGACGCAGTCGGCGCGATGGCGGCTGGCTGACCGTGTGAGAGAGGGTTTGTCTTCCCCGAGCATGACGATGGAGCTTTCGAGTTTAAAGCTGACGAGCGCCAGAGCGACAAAGCCGATGGCGAGCGCGAGGAAACCCTGTAGCACGGTCGGACTGGCGCTGGCCGTTAGTTCGATCGCGCGACTTACGGCCAGCACGAAGCCCAACAACGTGCCTCGGAACCCGACGGTTGCGCGTTCGAGGATCGTACAGAGCGCGATGTGCTGCAACGCCGCAGTTAAGACTCGCAGCGTCACGACCGACGTGATGAAGACCCAAAACATGTTCGCTGGCACTGCCTCTCCGTCGGACCCGAAGTCGGCACCCAACCGGGCACTGGTCCCGCCGTGAGTCGTCCCAGTGGGACCGGTAACGGTGGGTCCATTCGAGGTCCACTCGAGGTCTAGGGCGTGGTGGGTAGCGAGAGTGAAGGCGGGTTGGTAATGCGAGAAACCGTGTGTGTCGAGAGTGGTGACGTGTGCGGTTAGACAGAAGAGGACGGCAAGACAGGAGAGTCCAGCGAGTGCAACGAAGTCTCTGCGGCGTGTGCGGACGCGGTATGCGAGAAGGAGTGCGGGGAGTGTGAGCATTTCAAGGACCAGGAGTGCGAGTACCCGAGAGGGTTCCCCGTGACGGAAAAGTAGCGCGTTCCGTACCCAGCCTTTGACGAGTGCTTCGAGGACGTAGGTGGCCACGAAGACGGCGACCAGAGCGGTAACGAGACTGCGTGCGGCCGCTCGTGTGGCGATGTTGGCTGCGACGACCCAGAGGACTTGTAACGCACGTGCGGGGGTCGCGACCAATCCGCGTCGCAGCGTCGGCTGGTTCGAAGGCAGTGTCAATCGGCAGTACACCCGCCGGTATGCGTCTGTGACGGCTACCAGCTGCGTTCGTGGCATTAAACTCTTCGCACTCTCCCATGCCAAAAAGTGCCGATCTTGGAACACCAAAAACGCCGGCGAGTCCCACAAGACCCGAAACCGATACTGGGCTAACGCGAATAACAACAGTACCAACGACACGCAACAGTGACACCACATGAATGGGAACCCACCTAGCACCAGCGGGTCGCTCGAGGTACCGGTCGCCAATGGGTCGTGAATGAGATCGGGAGTGAGATCGGAAGCGAGATCGGGAGGAGTGAGGTACCAATAGCCAATGGCCTCCGGAATGAGTGCAGTGATGGCGATCAAAGTGCCAAGGACACGAGCCAGAGTGAGGACGCGGATGTAGTTGAGGAAGCTGACACATTCAACTAGATGCAACAGCGACCCGATCTCCCAGAGACAGCGCGTGTACTCGAAGACCATGAGGGCCACGAAGCACGCCAGGCTGTCCGGTACGAGGGTGAGTACGAGAAAAGACAGTGCTGCGATGAACAAGGCTGAGTACACCATTGGCCGGCGGCCCCGGAGGTCGAGGATCGGACTCAAGACCAGCGACCCGATAACGCGTATCCCGCTCGTGACCAAAGGGGCCAGAATGAGGAAGAACCGAACCGAAGACAGCAACACCTGGTCGCCAACTTCCGGACTTTGGTCGCCAACTTCCGGACTTTGGTTGTCCCTATTTTCGGTCGAGAAAGGCCCGTCAGAGGAGCCCAGTCGCGTGAGCAAGACCATCCACTTGACCGCGCTCTCGACAGACAAGGCCCCATAGCACAGCGGCAGCAGAGCACCCAGCGCCAGCGTACAGGCCGTGGAGAGCATCAACGGGTGATTCCAGCCCAGTGTGGTTTGCTTGAGCACGCTGTTCAGCACCATCGGCGGTTCTGGGTCCGGAACCGTCACGGGCACACACGTCGAGGAGCCCCGACAACAAGAGGACTGAAACAGACGAAAGCTGGAACAACGAGAACACTCTTATACCTCTGGTGAGTCACGATAGCTGGTCCCTCCGCTCTTGGTCATGTGTTGAGCAAGGATGTCCCAAATAGAAAAACGACATTAAACCACTAGCACTACACCCACATTAGACCACCGACATTAGACTCCCAGATTATGCCCAGACGGTTCGGTTGTGGTTGAGGGCGGCCATGGCGATTGGTTCGTCATATTCGCGTGGGATTTGCGGGTAGTTGTTGAGGGCTTGATGAGCAAGTTGCTGAGCTTTGGCTTTGTCTTTTTCTACCTCTGCGTAGAAGCAGCCGAGGTTACAGTAGATGCTGGAGCGGAGTCCGAGGGGCGCTTCGTTGGATTTGTCCAAGGCCGCCTCGTAGGCCTCAACGCAATCGCTTGCCTTGCTCCGATCGAGCTCGGCCCAGTAACGGTAAACGTCACCGCGAATCTTGTCGACCCAACAGGCGACTTCGTTCCGGTCAGAGCCGGTTCCGTCGGCGCGGTCAACGCAGCGCAATACACGTTCGGCGGCGATCAAAAAGTCCTCGCGAGTTTTCTCCATGAACTCTTCCACCACCTCGACCGCGATGTCCTTGTGCTCGTGTCTAGACTTCTGCTTATTCACCTTCACCTTACGCTGCAAACGGTACGCCGTGCGCAGCCTACCCAACACGTTTCTTACCGCGTCGCTAAACAACGCCCTTTCCTGCCGATTCCACTGCTGGAACTCGCTGCACCCTAACTCCAATAAGCGATTCCAACTATGCATCTGACAAAGCATGATTGCCTCCGATAGGTCTACAGGAAACGTGAACAGGGAAGAACACACACATCTCATGGAGTAGTGAACACATCTCATGGAGTAGTGAACACATCTCATGGAGTAGTGAACACATCTCATGGAGTAGTGAACACATCTCAT